CCAGGATAGAGAATGTGAATGTTATACCCCCGGATAAAGAGCAAGAATGTTATACCCTGGCTAGAGACTGTGAATGTTATACCCTGGCTAGAGAGCATGAATGTTATACCCTGGCTAGAGAATGTGAATGTTATACCCTGGCTAGAGAGTATGAATGTTATACCCTGGATAGAGAGTATGAATGTTATACGCAGGATAGAGAATATGAATGTTCTACCCTGGATAGAGAGTATGAAAGTTATACCCTGGCTAGAGAGCGTGAATGTTATATGCAGGATAGAGAATATGAATGTTCTACCCTGGATAGAGAGTATGAATGTTATACCCTGGCTAGAGAGCGTGAATGTTATATGCAGGATAGAGAATATGAACGTTCTACCCTGGATAGAAAGTATGAATGTTATACCCTGGCTAGAGAGCGTGAATGTTATATGCAGGATAGAGAATATTAATGTTATACCCTGGATAGAGAGTATGAATGTTATACCCTGGCTAGAGAGCGTGAATGTTATATGCAGGATAGAGAATATGAATGTTCTACCCTGGCTAGAGAGCGTGAATGTTATATGCAGGATAGAGAATATGAATGTTATACCCTGGATAGAAAGTGTGTATGTTACACCCAGGATAGAGAATGTGAATGTTATACCCCCGGATAAAGAGCAAGAATGTTATACCCTGGCTAGAGACTGTGAATGTTATACCCTGGCTAGAGAATGTGAATGTTATACCCTGGCTAGAGAGCATGAATGTTATACCCTGGCTAGAGAGTATGAATGTTATATGCAGGATAGAGGGTATGAATGTTATACGCAGGATAGAGGGTATGTATTTTATACAGTGGAATAAGGGTATGTTTATACCCTGGATAGTGTGTGAATGTTGTACCTTGGATAGAGAGTATGAATGTTGTACCTGGTTAGAGAGTATGAATGTTATACGCAGGATAGAGAGTATGAATGTTGTACCTGGTTAGAGAGTATGTATCTTATAACCAGGATAGAGGATATGTATTTTTTACCTAGGATTGAGAGTGTGGATGTTATACCCAATATACCCATGCACATTCACTGTCACATATTACTTTAACTAAACTTTCACCTCTGTCAGGTATGAACTAATGATCAATTAGATGTATGTTGGAGAGATTCCATTCCTCCATCTGTTGTACACAGATACTGCCTTACAACCCTTCCTCTATCATTCACTTTAAGGCTTGGTCTACAGTCTCATAACTTCATTCTAAAACCAATATATATTTCACTGTTATATTTTGCAACCAGTTCTCAGGAAATGATAATTTTAATAGACAACCTTCTAACATGAGTATTGAACACCAACTTGACAAAGGAACTGCATCTGAGTGACCTCAGTTTGAGAGTACAAGAAGCTGCTAAGCGAGGGAATTTTGAAACTGACCATACCCTGCTAGTTGCTGCCAGAGTGCGCTATAAGATTTAACACCACATCCACAATTATGGAGTATTCTATTGACTGCTGCAGATCGATACTGGCAGACCTGGGGGCAGATCTCAGTCTGGAGATGACAGACCTCGGCAGGGCCAGCAGAGCGGACAATGCAGGACACAACTGGTCACAATACCCTGCTATTGTCTACAATACACACAGTCGCAGCACAGGGGGAGCTAACATTATATTCCCCACTTCATACATACTGATACATTATAATCCCATTTAAAAAAAAAGAAGACACATTTATTAAATGCTGTAGGCAGGGATGAATGGTTTTAGTGTAAACTTGCTCATGGATGTAAACTGTGCAGATGAATACCATCAAAGAAATATCAAGTACACACATGCATCTTACACTAAATTTGGACAAAATGTTTTTCACAATATCTGAGCTGAGAATCATGCACAATATCTGAAGAGAGAATTGTACACTATAACGGATAATCAATCGGACACAATATCTGAAGAGAGAATTGTACACTATAACGGATAATCAATCGGACACAATATCTGAAGAGAGAATTGTACACTATAACGGATAATCAATCGGACACAATATCTGAAGAGAGAATTGTACACTATAACGGATAATCAATCAGACACAATATCTGAAGAGAGAATTGTACACTATAACGGATAATCAATCGGACACAATATCTGAAGAGAGAATTGTACACTATAACGGATAATCAATCGGACACAATATCTGACCAGAGAATGTTACATAGTATCTCAACATTGAATCTTACATAGTATCTCAACACTGAATCTTACATAGTATCTCAACACTGAATCTTACATAGTATCTCAACACTGAATCTTACATAGTATCTCAACATTGAATCTTACATAGTATCTCAACACTGAATCTTACATAGTATCTCAACACTGAATCTTACATAGTATCTCAACACTGAATCTTACGCAATATATGAGCAGAGAAACCAAGCGTGTGTCAATGTTCATACAGATGCAAGACTGCTACTTGTGTGAGCAATGCCTTGAAGGAACCTGTTGCACTCACTGTCAGAGTATATTTAATGTCTTCCTGTATCATTTTCGGTTACAGATACTGTGTCAACTGATTAAATAGCTTACATGTTCAGTACAGAGCAAAGCTGATTCAATCTCTCTTTCAATGACTTGGGTTTCAAGCACTAAGTGAATGTCCAGGTATATAGGAGGATCATGAGGCTGTAATGTAACTGTGGCCCTGCAGTGGCAATCCTTCCAAACACTCCCCAAACATCAATCACTATACTCATTGCCTTTTTCGCCAAGTTTATTTATGTTGAAATATCATCTCAGTCATCATCTGAAGTCAGTCTAATAGAAGCACCCCATCTCTTCTCGGTGTGAATTTTACAGTGAATCACTGAGAACCTTGGCTGAATCACTGACAAACCTATACTCAATAAGAAAGCTATATTAAATCAATGAGAACCTAATCATTGTGAATTATACACTCAATCACTGACAACCGTACACTCAAACCCTGAGAAATGCACATTGAATCAATGATGCCTACTTAGAATCCTGCACTTATTCACAAAGAACTCTACACTGAAACCTTGAGAAACCTACACTGAATCACTGAGATCTCTGCACTGAAACCTTTAGAAACCTGCACTGAATCACTGAGATCTCTGCACTGAAACCATGAAAAACCTGCACTGAATCACTGAGATCTCTGCACTGAAACCGTGAGAAACTTGCACTGAATCACTGAGATCTCTGCACTGAAACCTTCAGGACTCTACACTGAATCACTGAGATCTCTGCAAGGAAACCTTGAGAAATCTGCACTGAATCACTGAGATCTCTGCACTGAAACCCTAAGAAATTTGCACTGAATGCCTGAGATCTCTGCACGGAAACCTTTAGAAACCTGCACTGAATCCCTGAGATCTCTGCACTGAAACCCTGAGAAACCTACACTGAAACCTTGAGAAACCTACACTGAATCCTTGAGAAACCTACACTTAAACCTTGAGAAACCTACACTGAATCGTTGACATGCTGCATTAGATCCCTGATGTCAGCATAGCATGAAAACTTTGTGTGATTAAAAGCAATGAGGTGTCTGTGAATATCTGTATGAGGTTATCTATGTGAGGTGTCTGTGAGTACTGGCATGAGGTGTCTGTAAGAGGTGTCTGTGAGTATCTGCATGAGGTGTCTGCAAGAGGTGTCTGAGTACTGGCATGAGGTGTCTGTGAGTACTGGCATGATGTGTCTGTAAGAGGTGTCTGAGTACTGGCATGAGGTGTCAAAATGAGGTGTCTGTGAGTATCTGCATGAGGTTATCTATGTGAGGTGTCTGTGAGTACTGGCATGAGGTGTCTGTAAGAGGTGTCTGTGAGTATCTGCATGAGGTGTCTGCAAGAGGTGTCTGAGTACTGGCATGAGGTGTCTGTGAGTACTGGCATGATGTGTCTGTAAGAGGTGTCTGAGTACTGGCATGAGGTGTCTGCAAGAGGTGTCTGAGTACTGGCATGAGGTGTCTGTGAGTACTGGCATGAGGTGTCTGTGAGTACTGGCATGATGTGTCTGCAAGAGGTGTCTGAGTACTGGCATGAGGTGTCTGTGAGTACTGGCATGAGGTGTCTGCAAGAGGTGTCTGTGAGTAAGTATCAGCATTGTAGGTATCTACACATAATGTGTACACAATAAAGTGTTTGGGTTGAGTCATTGATGGACACAACTTGATCAAAACGAAACAAAAATAATACTCAAGAATTAAAGCAATACAGGAGTTGATCAACCACCTTCCATGTTTCCTCTCACATGACACAAACTCTGTTTTGGGGTGGGGGAGGACTGAGACAATTCTTGTTGACAAGTTAATGTAAAACAAGGTGGGAGGTGGGGATAACTGGCGTATCATCTGATAAGCAACTTCTATACACACGCATATGCTGCAAACCTTAGTCAGCACATGGGATCAGTCAGGACTAATGTTGACATCTATAAAAATCTTTAGTTGACAAATATAAAGACTTAAGTTGACATTTAGCCCCAAAGGGTAAATCTAACTTTCCAGTTACAAATGATGAAGCATTTGACTGAATATCTGAAGTCTCCTGCTGGTGGATGATTATCTTACACAACAAAATACTGGTCTTGACACACTAATACATCCGACATTTCTGTATTTCAGTTTGATGAGTTGAGTCTGAGGTACATTAGTTGCCAACATTGTACAGAGTCAGATCATAATGTAGAACAGGGGAAGTAACTCTGTATACAGAAGTAAGGTACTGACAGAAGCTGCAACATCTTAATAAGAAACTGAAAAAGATTGCTGTAATAAAGCGCTAAATAAAAGTTGCACACAACGATTCAGTCAACACTTGCTACACTTTTCTACAGGCATGCTTGGATCATGCTTGGCTTCACAAGGACATGTAGCGTCTACTGTTGTCTACTCATGCGGAAATCCGCTACGTTCTCTGTGATAGTCCACATTGTAAGAAATTTCTAATCATGCATAAGACAAAATTCATAACTAAAGACCCAAAATCAACTTCAATTGGTCAATAAGTTTATTTTCTGCCAATTATAATTGTTGACATCTAAGAGACATACATTCATGTAATTCGCATATGCAAATATAGGATCTATTGTTGCGAGAATTTTCCAAGTCTTCATGCTAAGAACTAAACAATTTGAAGATGTAAGAACAGATAGATGAATGAGTGTCAAGTTGCTGTTAAAATCACACATGCCAAACTGTCCTCACTGATAACATAGCATCTCAACACAGAGAAGGCTGGAGGCTCAACTCACTCACTCACTCACTCACTCACTCACCACATGGCCACCCATGATTGGTGTCAATAGCCAGGAGATCTGACTTGTGTGAAGAACGTAGGCTACAGAGACCCATTTCTCAATATTTACATTATCAGCCACCTGCAGCTTTTCCACATTAACAGTTGCTCACTGTTCAGGTAAAAAACCAAATATTTGCCATAAAACATGCACAATTACGGCATAATATTGATAAAATTAATCTGTGAGAATAAACTGGACTGAATGTAAAGAATACTGAATGTACATTTTCCCAGGTAGCTAGTTAGCTGTGAGGGCACACAGTGAGTGAGTGAGTGAGTTGTCAGCAGGAGTACACAGGGAACACTCACCTCTTGGATCACCTTGAAATTCATCAAGACAAGAAAACAGATGAACTCTACATGAGATGTGATAACTACTCTATGGACTGATTACACACATACATGGGTTATTGTTTACTGGTCACTGCGGCCATAGACCACTACATTGGGCTGTTGTCATCACTGTTATGTAGGTCGAATTTGGCATGTATTATTTTAAAAAAAGCACAGATCACTATGCAATGATGATTTCTACACTTTAACAAGTCCCATACATCACACTGTCTCTAAGAGGGTTGCAGGAGGCAGTCCTCAAGTTAACAAAAACATAATGAACTGTGAAACGTTTCCTAAATTTACACAAATTATACACAGATTAAAGAGAATTTACAAAAAAAATGAAACAATGAGATGAACATGTGACTAGAACTGACCAATCAGTGTGAAGACTGAATGATGTCGACTGTTTCTAGGGCCTACTATGCCACATGACAAGATACCTCCTACATCGTCCATGAAAGGAGAACAATACCCAGTAGCTTGTAGTAAGAAATTTGGACTTTGATACCATGGTTTGGTAACTTGAGCAAAATCATCTCGCATGGTCTAGAAACTACAGATCTTAAATATATAAATATTAAATAACTCTGGGCTTCCAAGCAAAGGAAGCAATGTATATCATACACATATGAACTGTTTTGAACAATCCAAGTCAATTTCTCAAATCAAACAAAATTCGCAGAGCTTTCTCAGCACTTGAAATTTGCATAATTTTAAAAAATTTACATTGTAAAGCAAAAAAATTATGAACAAAATTCACATCAGTAAAAATAACAATATTTACAGTTCCTATGGTATAAAAAGAGCACACAAGTTAGTGTCCTGACTTTGGCAGCAAGACATGGATGTAACATCAGTTATTATGAAATACCCGTTGCGGGAAATCTGGTGGCTCTTTACGAGGGATAGGAACAGTTACCACATGGGGCTATACTTGATACACTTGATACTTTGAATGGTCAACTTCATAGGTGGGATTATACCTTTTTGGTAACAGTCAAGAAATGGGGCTATACCTGGTACAGAAAAAGTATATGGGGCTATACCTGGTACACTAACAGTTAACAGGTGGAGCTGTAACAGAAACAAGTATACTTCTCAGATGGGGCTTATGTGGTACAGTTACAGTTAACAGATAGGGCTATACCTGGTATATTAACAGTAAAAGGATGGGGTTATACCTTGAACAAGTACTGGTACCCTTCACAGGTGGAGCTATACCTAGTACAGCTACTGACTATTAAACAGATGGGAATACCAATGTATATCTTAATGTGAACCAGGTCAAGTGGGGGATGTATATCGTAATGTGAACCAGGTCAAGTGGGCTTATGTGGTACAGTTCAGATAGATAGGGCTATACCTGGTATATTAACAGTAAAAGGGGGGTTATGTATATCTTAATGTGAATACAGGTCAACTATTAAACAGGGGAATACCAATGTATATCTTAATGTGAACCAGGTCAAGTGGGGGATGTATATCTTAATGTGAACCAGGTCAAGTGGGGGATGTATATCTTAATGTGAACCAGGTCAAGTGGGGATGTATATCTTAATGTGAACCAGGTCAAGTGGGGATGTGTGAACCAGGTCATGGGGATCTTAATGTGGACCAGGTCAAGTGGGGATGTATATCTTAATGTGAACCAGGTCAAGTGTTGGATGTATATCTTAATGTGAACCAGGTCAAGTGGGGGATGTATATCTTAATGTGAATCAGGTCAAGTGGGGGATGTATATCTTAACGTCAACCAGGTTGAACTGGGTATGAATGTTATAATGTCAATATGTTGAGTTGGGGATAGTATATGGAGCACCAGGTTGAAAGGGGATGTATACTACAATGTGAACGAGGTCAAGTGGGGGATGTATACTACAATGTGAACGAGGTCAAGTGGGGGATGTATACTACAATGTGAACGAGGTCGAGCTTGGGATGTATACTACAATGTGAACCAGGTCGAGCTTGGGATGTATGTTATTTTGTCAACGAGGTTGACGGCAATGTGTGTTATAACGTCAACTAGATTGAGCAGGGGATGTATGTTATAACATCAAGCAAGCTGAAGGGGGTTGGGGGTGTATGTGATATCGAGCATTAGGTCAAGCTGGTATGTATGTTACAATGAGAACCAGGTTTAGCTGGGGATGTATATTATATGGATCAGATTCTTGATGGGCATTTAGAAGTAGGAAGGTAACATAACAACATTAGGTATGGATTTACAACTTCTGTATTATTTACATCATTGCTCAGGTGAGGGGCAAGAAGTAGCCCAAAAACTTTGTGTTGTAAATAATAAAGAAGTTATACCATATGTTCTTATATACATGTATTATATGGAGTACCTTGTTCAACTGGCATGGATGTGACGACATGAAACAGGTTGAGTGGGGGATGTATGTTACATTGTGAACCAGGTTGAAGGGGGGATGTATATTACATTGTGAACCAGGTTGAGTGGGGGATGTATATTACATTGTGAACCAGGTTGAGTGGGGGATGTGTATTACATTGTGAACCAGGTTGAGTGGGGATGTATATTACATTTGAGTGAACCAGGTTGTTGAGTGGGGGATGCATGTGTACATTGTGAACCAGGTTGAGTGGGGGGATGTATGTTACATTGTGAACCAGGTTGAGTGGGGGATGTGTATGTACATTGTGAACCAGGTTGAGTGGGGAACCAGGTTGATGTGTATTGACATTGTGAACCAGGTTGAGTGGGGGGATGTATGTATTACATTGTGAACCAGGTTGTGAACCAGGTTGAGTGGGGGATGTATATTACATTGTGAACCAGGTTGAGTGGGGGATGTATATTACATTGTGAACCAGGTTGAGTGGGGATGTGTGAGTATTACATTGTGAACCAGGTTGAGTGGGGGGGATGGTGAACCATGTTACATTGTGAACCAGGTTGAGTGGGGGATGTATATTACATTGTGAACCAGGTTGAGTGGGGGATGTGTATTACATTGTGAACCAGGTTGAGTGGGGGATGTGTATTACATTGTGAACCAGGTTGAGTGGGGGATGTGTATTACATTGTGAACCAGGTTGAGTGGGGGATGTATATTACATTGTGAACCAGGTTGAGTGGGGGATGTATATTACATTGTGAACCAGGTTGAGTGGGGGATGTGTATTACATTGTGAACCAGGTTGAGTGGGGGATGTATATGACATTGTGAACCAGGTTGAGTGGGGATGTGTATTACATTGTGAACCAGGTTGAGGGGATGTATATTACATTGTGGAACCAGGTTGGAGTGGGGATGTGTATTACATTGTGAACCAGGTTGAGGGGGGGATGTATATTACATTGTGAACCAGGTTGAGTGGGGGATGGACATACAGGAACCAGGCTGAGTGGGGATGTGTATGACATTGTGAACCAGGTTGAGTGGGGATGTGTATTACATTGTGGAACCAGGTTGGAACCCAGGATGTAAACACATTGTGAACCAGGGTTGAGTGGGGATGTACACATTGTGAACCAGGCTGAGTGGGGATGTATACACATTGTGAACCAGTGGGCTGAGTGGGGATGTGGGGCCGGACATTGGTGAACCAGGCTGAGGGGGATGTGTATGCATCAGGAACCAGGCCAGAGTGGATGACATCAGGAACCAGGTTGGAGTGGGGGGACCAGAACCAGGCTGATGGACACAGGAACCAGGCCACTGAGTGGATGACACAGGAACCAGGCTGAGACACAGGAACCAGAACCAGTGGACACACAGGAACCAGTGGACACAGAACCAGGAACTGAGTGGACAGGACCATGGACACACAGGAACCAGTGGACAGGAACCAGGACACAGAAACTGAATGGATGTGGACACAGGAACCAGGAACTGAACGAGGACAGGAGTGGACACAGGAACCAGGCAGTGGACCACAGAACCAGGCTGAGACCAGGAACCAGGCTGAGTGGACACAGGAACCAGGCCGAGACACAACAGGAACCCAGGCTGGACACACACAGGAACCATGCTGACAGAACCACAGGAACCAGGAAGGAGACACACAGAACCAGAACCATGGACACAGGAACTGACAGTGGACACACAGGAACCAGTGGACACATTGGAACCAGGCTGACAGGGACACACAGGAACCAGGCTGAGTGGGGAAGACAGGAGTGGATGTACACAGGAACCAGGCTGGTGGGGGAGCAGGACAGAACCAGGTTGGGAGTGGGGGGACGAGACCAGGCTGGAACTGACATTGGAACCAGGTGAGTGGACGATTCCATCAGAACACTGAGAATCAATCAGGAACCATGCTGGAGTGCACAGGAACTGAGGACACAGGACACAGGAACCAGGATGGCAGGACACAGGACCCAGGGATGGATGGAGACCAGGGAAGGCATGGACACGGAGGAACCAGGTGAAATGTGTTCCAGAATGAGCCCCATAGCACGACACACATGAGGAAAGCATGGAGGCACACAGGAGGACACAACCCCAGTGGAGGCACACAGACCAGGCACACAGGTGGACACAGAGAGAGGAGGCACACAGGAGTGGAGGCACACAGAGGCACACCAGGGTGGAGGCACACAGGCACACAGGAACCACAGGCACCCAGGAGGACACAGGAAAATGGAGGCAGTGGACATGGACAGGCACAGGCAAGAGGGAGGAGAACCAAGACCACAGGAGGCAACCAGGTCCAGTGGAGGCACACAGGACCACACAGGCACACAGGAAAAATCCAGGACACAGACCCAGGTGGACACAGACAACCACACAGGACACAACCAGTGGAGGCTGGAGGCACCCAGGAAAACCCCAGGTGGAGGCACACAGAGCAACCCAGGCAACCCAGTGGACACAGGCACCAGGAGGCACACAGGGACCACAGCCACACAGGAGGCACACAGGTGGAGGCACACAGTGCCCCCAGGACCAGGAACCCAGGACAACCCCAGGTCCAACAGGTGGAGGGACAGGAGACACAACAGAAGGACCAACAGCAGGGATGGAGCTGGAGGCACACAGGCACACAGGCACAGGAAGGAGAACCCCAGGATGGAGACAGGCACACATGGAGGGTCCAGGACCAAGACACCCGACCAGACAACGGAGTCCAACACACATGGACCGACCAGACACACACCCACACCAGGACGGAAGCCCATGGACATTCCCAGTGGCTGACAAGACCAGTGGCCAACCAGCCCGACAAGACCAGTGGCCAACCCATTGTGGACAGCCTGGACAAGACCAGTGGCCAACCCATGTGGCACAGCCGGACAAGACCAGGCCAGCCCCAGTGGGGACAGGAACCTGACAAGACCAGACAGCCTGACAAGACCAGTGTCAACCCCCACAACCAAGGTGTAACAGCCTGACAAGACCAGTGTGGCAGTGTCAACCTATGGGGTGGGGAGCCGGTGCAACAGCCCAGTGTCACAAGGGGTGGGCAGTTGCCAGCCTGACAAGACAACCCTATGGGGGTGGGGGGCAGGGAAGACCAGCGTCAAGGAGCTGGTTGCAAACAGCCTGACCAGACAGTGTCAACCTATGGGGTGGGGAGCAAACAGCCTGACAAGACCAGTGTCAACCCATGGGGGTGGGGCTGTGCAACAGCCTGACAAGACCAGTGTCAACCTATGGGGTGGGGAGCTGGTTGCAACAGCCTGACAAGACCAGTGTCAACCTATGGGGGTGGGGAGAGCCGGTTGCAACAGCCTGACAAGACCAGTGTCAACCTATGGGGGTGGGGAGCCTGGTTGCAACAGCCTGACAAGACCAGTGTCAACCTATGGGGGTGGGGAGCTGGTTGCAACAGCCTGACAAGTGCCAGTGTCAACCTATGGGGTGGGGAGCTGGTTGCAACAGCCTGACAAGACCAGTGTCAACCTATGGGGGTGGGGAGCCAGTGTCAACCCATGGGGGTGGGGAGCTGGTTGCAACAGCCTGACAAGACCAGTGTCAACCTATGGGGTGGGGGAGCCGGTTGCAACAGCCTGACAAGTGCCAGTGTCAACCTATGGGGGTGGGGAGCTGGTTGCAACAGCCTGACAAGTGCCAGTGTCAACCTATGGGGTGTCAACAACCCAGTGTCAACCTATGGGGGTGGGGCCTGGTGCAACAGCCTGACAAGGGCCAGTGTCCAACCTATGGGGGGGGGGGAGCCTGGGCAAGTGGTTGCAACAGCCTGACAAGGTGACAAGTGCAGTGTCAACCCGTGATAAGGTGGGGGCCTGACAGTGCAACAGCCTGGGGTGGGGGCTGGTTGCAACAGCAGTGTTAACCTATGGGGTGGGGAGCTGGTTGCAACAGCTTGACAAGGGCCAGTGTCAATCTATTGGGGGGGTTAGTTGCAACACCCTGACAAGGGCCAGTGTCAACATATGGGGTAGGGGGGCCTGTTGCAACAACCTGACAAGGGCCAGTGTTAACCTGTGGGGGGGGGTGGTTGCAACAGCCTGACAAGGGTCAGTGTCACACATTGGGGTAGGGGGGCTGATTGCAACAGCCTGACAAGGGCCAGTGTCAACCTATGGGGGTGGGGGAGCTGGTTGCAACAGCTTGACAAGGGCCAGTGTCAACATATGGGGGTAGGGGGCCTGGTTGCAACAGCCTGACAAGGGCCAGTGTCAACATATGGGGGTAGGGGGGGCCTGTTGCAACAACCTGACAAGGGCCAGTGTCAACATATGTCCTAAGCTCGTTATGGCGTGTATCTTTATGGCGTGTATCTTTATGGCATGTATCTTTATGGCGTGTATCACATTCAAACAACTCCTCCAGCAGAGAATGTTTACTTAGAACTACTCACATCACTTATGATTACTTTGAATTCTTCAGAAATAATTCTTTACGCTAGATTTACTCCAATGAAGATAAACATGAATTCACTCTGAAGTAGCTTTATCTCCTGACCATGTCTTCCAAAAGGACACACATGAGTAGACATGTTACAAAATGAAAATAATGTATAATGAACAAAGGCAAAACAAAAATAATGCACTAAACGAAACTCAAAGATCTTTCTTAAATCCTAGTTGTGTACACTGTATGTAGTCTTTCAGAGTCTCAACTCCGACCTGAAATCACTCTAGAGGTGAAAATGTTACATATATCCAGCATGCGCAAATCCAAGGAAATTTAAGTCAATGCCATTGATCACAAAGGTCATGGTCATGGGGTCATGACCTCTGCTGACCTCAAGCTGAGCAAATTGTTCCCTGAAATAGCGACCCATTCCAGCAAATGAGCGAAACAGTCCCTCATAGTTTACTACTGCTACAGCCAATCAGTGGACAAACAAATATTCACGATGATATGTAAATTAGCTTTCTTGTTTCTGTCACTTTGTCATCTGTAGCAGAGACGATTAGAACTGGCCGGTGAACCTTTGGCTGTTAGAATGAGTGAGCGAAGAGCGAATCAACGAGCATACTGGTAATTTCTAGAAGAAAGATCAATTCAGAGTAGATATTAAACATGGCCGCATGCAGCAGTTGATACAGGGCATTTCAACCGTAACTTCACTCGACTGGGAAAGTGTCGGGTGAGAATTGGGCGGGTGTCTGCCAGCGTGTCTGCCAAGCTCCCAGTTCACACTAAGACGTACAGGGTACAGACAGACATTCAACAGTTATAAAAACGCAACGTACATCCTTCCCACGAGGCCACACTTCATCACCTATTCAAAAGCCCATGGCCGGGCTCACTTACCGGGCTCTGTTCGGAGCCGGGGCTATCCGTGAGTTGTTTCGCACCCGCACACGGTTCAGCAGAACCAGCAGAAAAAGTCCTACCACCATCGCTGTCTTGTACAACATCAGGCATTGAATGCGTATTTGCATAAACTTCGGGGGACCTTGTCCCACCAGTGTTACTGCTGTTTCCACCACCAACACTATCATTTTTATTCTTTTTACCCAGGGTGTTCCGAAATCCTTCAAATATTGTCTTTTTTGGCTTGGGTGAGCCAGCCACCCCTGAACTCGTCTCACTGCTGGGGGTGGATCCACCAGATGCACTCATTTTCTTAGCACCACCATCACCAAGTTTTCTGTCAGGGTTTGTGGGATCTTTTCGATGTTTCAGTCGGAGAGTTTGGGCAAGATGACTTGGATGCATCCTCAGCAGGGAGTTCAGGTAGGGGTGCGGGAACTGATTTACATCGTTCATGCTTTTTACTGTCATGACGACCACCTTTTGATTTGGTTGCAATGGGGTTGACTCCCTTTGCTTGCTGTGGGTGAGAATGTGTCTTCCGTAATGCTGACTCCCGGGGAAGGCTACCGAACTCAGGAGCAGACCTGACAAGGAGGAGGATGATTATGCACATGTACCAGACAAGATGTAGGACAATCATTCACATTTCTTGGGGCTAGCTTTGTGTACAACCTCCATTTAAACATCCTAATTGCACAAGCATGTCCACACAATGATTATAATCAGTTATGAAGCAAAGGTGGCTGGGATTACTAGATACTAGTATATCAAATGACCAAAACAAGAGAAGAGAATGATGATTATGTGTTTGTTTGTTGCCTCGTGCTGTACTTGTCAATATATACCAGTAGCCTGTAAATAATCAAGTCGGGATAAGACATATTACTTCCCCCAGCGGTCAACCAAGCAATGGAGCCTGACTGCCCAATCCATCAACTTGCTCAAGCATATGTTATGTTGTTGGGCTGAACAAACTTAACATGGAATCCCAGAGGTAGGAGAGGAAAGAGAGGTAGACACACTTACATCTCTTTAGTGAGTTCCTTCTGGTAGGCGATAGGGGACTGTAGGGCTGAAACAGAAACAAAAGATGTGCATGATAAAAACAATATAGGGCAGACTGCAGGAATTTGAACAATACCAGACAGGAGGATCCTCTTACAGATGCCAATGGTCCACAGATAGAACAAAAGATGTGATATATAAATATCCTAAATACATACAAGTGACCACTGTAATACTCAAAGATATATGCCCTGTTGTCTACAGGAGACATACCATATATATTACCGTATATAAGCCAATCTCATAGATAAGCCGAGCCCCTAGCTTGACCTTTATGATCAGAGTCAAAATGGTTCGTACAGAAGCCGAATCCCCGCTATGGATCCTAATAGCAGCCAACTCAGACAACAAGACAACTGGCAGTTAAAGTCTTGGATGTAAAACGTAATTATGTTTGGTGAGAATAGGATCTAATAAAGATTCTACTGACCCCTAATGTGGGAACCTGTGTTTGTTATATTTTTGATATCATAACAATCACTGTTGGTATCAACAACAAGACGGTAATTTTACCGTAATGTTAAGAAAGCATGTTTATACTGATAACAGTGAAATAGTGTGTCCCCCAGATAATTTCGGCCCGCATTATTTACAGCTATCACTAACATTTGTGTCTACTCATGTCTCCAAATTAAGTGTATACGTAGTTGACAGATAATGGATACACATACATATTTTGTTTTGACAAAGGTCATTTAGTGAAGCTGGATGATCACGTGTCAACAAACTGTTTTTGCAGTGGAAATAACAACATCGCACGAAACCACATCGGTGACAGGTAAAATTGTTCCATGCATAAAAACCCGTGAAATACACCAGAAAGGTGTCGCATAACCTTAGTTATGCTTATAAATATTTTACATTTATAGAGAAACAGCTGCAATTAAAATGACACAAAACGAGAATATATTCTTTTATATAATAATAGTTTCAGATACTATATTCTTAAGATCACTGCATCAGAATTCATTTCGTTATATCATCGGGTACGTTTTAACTAATCACTGGTAGGGGAACGTGTGCACTGCACAGCTGATTGCTATTTCCGGCGCTGTATACGAGACAATTACACACGGTAATCTTAATCCATGCATGTAATGCCTAGCAAAAACAAATTAGCACTGAATAGGTAAATTATCTTGTCTAGTGATGTTTAATTGCAAATTTGACGTCTTTACTGACAAAGTCGTCTTCTCTTGTTTGTTTGTTCACGCAAAGCAACACGATATCATTTTCTTACCCCCTGAAAGTTTGATGAAAGTGTAACCCATAGATAAGCCGACCCCTTTCTACAGACTGTCTGTTTTGGTCCTCAAAATTCGGCTTATCTACGGTAATATACGGCACACTATGACACAGCTACAGTCATGATGTTTCCTGTTGTCTACAGGACATATATACTAGGATACAGCTACAATGATGATGTTTTAATGATATATACCCTGTTGTCTACAGGAGATATATACTAGGATACAGCTACAATGATGATGTTTTAATGATATATACCCTGTTGTCTACAGGAGATATATACTAGGATACAGCTACAATGATGATGTTTTAATGATATATACCCTGTTGTCTACAGGAGATATACACTAGGATACAGCTACAATGATGATGTTTTAATGATATATACCCTGTTGTCTACAGGAGATATACACTAGGATACAGCTACAATGATGATGTTTTAATGATATATACCCTGTTGTCTACAGGAGATATACACTAGGATACAGCTACAATGATGATGTTTTAATGATATATACCCTGTTGTCTACAGGAGATATACACTAGGATACAGCTACAATCATGATGTTTTAATGATATATACCCTGTTGTCTACAGGAGATATACACTAGGATACAGCTACAATCATGATGTTTTAATGATATATACCCTGTTGTCTACAGGAGATATACACTAGGATACAGCTACAATCATGATGTTTTAATGATATATACCCTGTTGTCTACAGGGAGATATACACTAGGATACAGCTACAATCATGATGTTTTAATGATATATACCCTGTTGTCTACAGGAGATATACACTAGGATACAGCTACAATGATGATGTTTCAATGATATATACCCTGTTGTCTACAGGAGATATACACTAGGATACAGCTACAATGATGATGTTTTAATGATATATACCCTGTTGTCTACAGGAGCTATATACTAGGATACAGCTACAATGATGATGTTTCAATGATATATACCCTGTTGTCTACAGGAGACATACACTAGGATACAGCTACAATCATGATGTTTTAATGATATATACCCCTGTTGTCTACAGGAGATATATACTAGGATACAGCTACAATGATGATGTTTCAATGATATATACCCTGTTGTCTACAGGAGATATACACTAGGATACAGCTACAATGATGATGTTTTAATGATATATACCCTGTTGTCTACAGGAGATATACACTAGGATACAGCTACAATGATGATGTTTTAATGATATATACCCTGTTGTCTACAGGAGCTATATACTAGGATACAGCTACAATGATGATGTTTTAATGATATATACCCTGTTGTCTACAGGAGATATACACTAGGATACAGCTACAATGATGATGTTTTAATGATATATGCCCTGTTGTCTACAGGAGATATATACTAGGATACAGCTACAATGATGATGTTTTAATGATATATGCCCTGTTGTCTACAGGAGATATATACTAGGATACAGCTACAATCATGATGTTTTAATGATATATACCCTGTTGTCTACAGGAGCTATATACTAGGATACAGCTACAATGATGATGTTTTAATGATATATACCCTGTTGTCTACAGGAGATATACACTAGGATACAGCTACAATCATGATGTTTCAATGATATATGCCCTGTTGTCTACAGGAGATATATACTAGGATACAGCTACAATCATGATGTTTCAATGATATATGCCCTGTTGTGTACAGGACATATATACTAGGATACAGCTACAATCATGATGTTTCAATGATATATGCCCTGTTGTCTACAGGAGATATATACTAGGATACAGCTACAATGATGATGTTTTAATGATATATACCCTGTTGTCTACAGGAGATATACACTAGGATACAGCTACAATGATGATGTTTCAATGATATATGCCCTGTTGTCTACAGGAGCTATATACTAGGATACAGCTACAATCATGATGTTTTAATGATATATGCCCTGTTGTGTACAGGAGATATACACTAGGATACAGCTACAATGATGATGCTTTAATGATATATGCCCTGTTGTCTACAGGAGATATACACTAGGATACAGCTACAATCATGATGTTTTAATGATATATGCCCTGTTGTCTACAGGAGATATACACTAGGATACAGCTACAATCATGATGTTTTAATGATATATGCCCTGTTGTCTACAGGACATATATACTAGGATACAGCTACAATCATGATGGTTTAATGATATATGCCCTGTTGTGTACAGGACATATATACTAGGATACAGCTACAATCATGATGTTTCAATGATATATGCCCTGTTGTCTACAGGAGCTATATACTAGGATACAGCTACAATCATGATGTTTTAATGATATATGCCCTGTTGTGTACAGGAGATATACACTAGGATACAGCTACAATCATGATGCTTTAATGATATATGCCCTGTTGTCTACAGGAGATATACACTAGGATACAGCTACAATCATGATGTTTTAATGACATATGCCCTGTTGTCTACAGGAGATATACACTAGGATACAGCTACAATGATGATGTTTTAATGATATATGCCCTGTTGTGTACAGGACATATATACTAGGATACAGCTACAATCATGATGTTTCAATGATATATGCCCTGTTGTCTACAGGAGCTATATACTAGGATACAGCTACAATGATGATGTTTTAATGATATATGCCCTGTTGTGTACAGGAGATATACACTAGGATACAGCTACAATCATGATGCTTTAATGATATATGCCCTGTTGTCTACAGGAGATATACACTAGGATACAGCTACAATCATGATGTTTTAATGACATATGCCTTGTTGTCTACAGGAGATATACACTAGGATACAGCTACAATCATGATGTTTTAATGATATATACCCTGTTGTCTACAGGAGATATACACTAGGATACAGCTACAATCATGATGTTTTAATGATATATGCCCTGTTGTCTACAGGACATATATACTAGGATACAGCTACAATCATGATGGTTTAATGATATATGCCCTGTTGTGTACAGGACATATATACTAGGATACAGCTACAATCATGATGTTTCAATGATATATGCCCTGTTGTCTACAGGAGCTATATACTAGGATACAGCTACAATCATGATGTTTTAATGATATATGCCCTGTTGTCTACAGGATCTATACACTAGGATACAGCTACAATCATGATGTTTCAATGATATATGCCCTTTTGTGTACAGGAGATATACACTAGGATACAGCTACAATCATGATGTTTCAATGATATATGCCCTGTTGTCTACAGGAGATATACACTAGGATACAGCTACAATCATGATGTTTTAATGATATATGCCCTGTTGTCTACAGGACATATACACTAGGATACAGCTACAATCATGATGTTTTAATGATATATACCCTGTTGTCTACAGGAGGCATACACTAGGACACAGCTACAATCATGATGTTTCAATGATATATGCCCTGTTGTGTACAGGAGACATATACTAGGATACAGCTACAATCATGATGTTTCAATGATATATGCCCTGTTGTCTACAGGAGCTATATACTAGGATACAGCTACAATCATGATGTTTTAATGATATATGCCCTGTTGTCTACAGGAGATATACACTAGGATACAGCTACAATCATGATGTTTTAATGATATATGCCCTGTTGTCTACAGGAGATATACACTAGGATACAGCTACAATCATGATGTTTCAATGATATATGCCCTGTTGTCTACAGGAGACATATACTAGGATACAGCTACAATCATGATGTTTCAATGATATATGCCCTGTTGTCTTGAGTAGGCATACACTAGGACACAGCTACAATCATGTTTCAATGATATATGCCCTGTTGTCTACAGGAGGCATACACTAGGACACAGCTACAATCATAATGTTTCAATGATATATGCCCTGTTGTCTAGAGGAGGCATACACTAGGACACAGCTACAATCATAATGTTTCAATGATATATGCCCTGTTGTCTAGAGGAGGCATACACTAGGACACAGCTACAATCATGATGTTTCAATTTTATATGCCCTTTCTAGTTAGTGTACATGGCAAGTACAGTAGCATCAACGGTATCAAAATACCAACCACTCAATACACCCCCTACCTCTGAGAAAGTCCCCCTGCATGTCGAGGATGGACTTGATTTCCCTGATCCATGTTTGTTTCACCTCCTCTGATGGGGCCTGAGTGTAGAACTTCATGTCTGACCCTGGGGTGCGGTCCACCAGCACAAAGCGGAAGGGCTCTCCTTCCACAGTTTCAGACATTGACATCTTGTTGACCTGAAACCAAACAGCTAGTTAGCAGGATGATCCTAAGACAGATAACTTGTAAAACGTCAATCATTAAATGATCCAGTATCAAGAAGCAGTCTAATAACAGCTTCACGGCCTTATGTGCTAAGAGCATGAAGAGGATGAAGTAAGTAAGTAAGAATAAGTAAGTAATTAACAGCTTGAATCTCGAGGAAATGACACAAGGAAATATGAACAACGAATCAACTCTATCCTTAACCCAACATTGATTATATTGATAATCTCAAGGATTGTATGGTTGTCATGAAGTTACGACACTGAGAGACTGGGGACATTCTGTCCACTGACTTACTTTGACACTATTTTTGAACACATAGTTGGCATTAGAGAAATCTCCTTTCCGTTTCTCTGTCATCTCACTGAAGATGATGATCTGCTCAAAGAGAAAAACACGCCGTTCCTTGAACTTCTGTGGTCCAGACGTCCCTGAAATCTCAGACACAAGAAGTGTGTCCTGCAGCAGCAGCTTCCCCTGGGCAGTTATCTTTCCCTGCAACACACAACCATCCATAAGTCTAACAGCTTACCCTGCAACACACAACCATCCATAAGTCTCACAGCTTACCCTGGGCAGTTATCTTTCCCTGGAACACACAACCATCCATAAGTCTCACAGACTACCCTGGAACACACAACCATCCATAAGTCTCACAGCTTACCCTGCAACACACAACCATCCATAAGTCTCACAGACTACCCTGAAACACAACCATCCATAAGTCTCACAGCTTACCCTACAACACACAACTATCCATAAGTCTCACAGCTTACCCTGCAACACACAACCATCCATAAGTCTCAAAGCTTACCCTGGGCAGTTATCTTACCCTGCAACACACAACCATCCATAAGTTTCACAGCTTACCCTGGAACACACCACCATCCATAAGTTTAACAGCTTACCCTGCAACACACAACCATCCATAAGTCTAACAGCTTCCCCTGCAACACACAACCATCCATGTCTCACAGCTTACCCTACAACACACAACCATCCATAAGTCTCACAGCTTACCCTGCAACAAACAACCATCCATAAGTCTAACAGCTTACCCTGCAACACACAACCATCCATAAGTCTCACAGCTTACCCTGCAACACACAACCATCCTTAAATCTCACAGCTTACCCTGCAACACACAACCATCAATGTCTCACAGCTTACCCAGCAACACACAACCATCCATAAGTCAAACAGCTTACCCTGCAACACACAACCATCCATAAGTCTCACAGCTTACCCTGCAACACACAACCATCCATAAGTCTAACAGCTTACATCTTTCCTGCAACACACAACCATCCATAAGTCTCACAGCTTACTCCACACTGCAACACACAACACAACCATCCATAAGTCTCACAGCTTACCCAGCAACACACAACCATCCATAAGTCTCACAGCTTACCCTGCAACACACAACCATCCATCTCACATAAGTCAACACACAACTATCCATTAAGTCTCAGCAACACAACACATCCATCCATAAGTCTCACAGCTTACCCAGCACACACAACCATCCATGTCTCACAGCTTACAACACAACCATCCATAAGTCTAACAGCTTACCCTGCAACACACAACCATCCTTAAGTCTCACAGCTTACCCTGGAACACACAACTATCCTTAAATCTCACAGCTTACCCTGCAACACACAACCATCCATAAGTCTCACAGCTTTCTCTGCAACACACAACTATCCTTAAATCTCACAGCTTACCCTGCAACACACAACCATCCATAAGTCTCACAACTTACCCTGCAACACACAACTATCCTTAAATCTCACAGCTTACCCTGCAACACACAACCATCCATAAGTCTAACAGCTTACCCTGCAACACACAACCATCCTTAAATCTCACAGCTTACCCTGCAACACGCAACCATACAGTCACATCATAATGCACTTTCACATTGATGGACTCACATTGAAGCCCTGTAGTCTCCCAACTTGCATCATATCATTGGCTGCTTTGGGGACGACATTCATGACTCTGAGGGCTTTCTTCAGATCTGTGACATCTAGTCCAGCTCTTTCTGTGTACTTGGCAATGTCCTGTAAACAGCGCAGTGATTATAGTACAGGCCACACTAACACTGTATGATACTGACAAGATCATGAGATAAAGGAGCAGTAGTGGATGGTGAGATAAAGGAGCAGTAGTGGATGGTGAGATAAAGGAGCAGTAGTGATTGGTGATATAAAGGAGCAGTAGTGATTGGTGATATAAAGGAGCAGTAGTGATTGGTTAGATAAAGGAGCAGTAGTGATTTGTGATATAAAGGAGCAGTAGTGATTGGTGATATAAAGGAGCAGTAGTGATTGGTGATATAAAGGAGCAGTAGTGATTGGTGATATAAAGGAGCAGTTGTGATTGGTGATATAAAGGAGCAGTTGTGATTGGTGATATAAAGGAGCGGTAGTGATTGGTGATATAAAGGAGCGGTAGTGATTGGTGATATCAAGGAGCAGTAGTGATTGGTGATATAAAGGAGCAGTAGTGATTGGTGATATAAAGGAGCAGTAGTGATTGGTGATATAAAGGAGCAGTAGTGATTGGTGATATAAAGGAGCAGTTGTGATTGGTGAGATAAAGGAGCAGTTGTGATTGGTGATATAAAGGAGCAGTAGTGGATGGTGAGATAAAGGAGCGTTAGTGGATGGTGAGATAAAGGAGCAGTAGTGATTGGTGAGATAAAGGAGCAGTAGTGATTGGTGATATAAAGGAGCAGAAGTGATTGGTGATATAAAGGAGCAGTAGTGATTGGTGATATAAAGGAGCAGTTGTGATTGGTGATATAAAGGAGCACTAGTGGATGGTGAGATAAAGGAGCGGTAGTTATTGGTGATATAAAGGAGCAGTTGTGATTGGTGAGATAAAGGAGCAGTAGTGATTGGTGATATAAAGGAGCAGTAGTGATTGGTGATATAAAGGAGCAGTTGTGATTGGTGATATAAAGGAGCAGAAGTGATTGGTGATATCAAGGAGCAGTTGTGATTGGTGATATAAAGGAGCAGTAGTGGATGGTGAGATAAAGGAGCGGTAGTTATTGGTGATATAAAGGAGCAGTTGTGATTGGTGAGATAAAGGAGCAGTAGTTATTGGTGATATAAAGGAGCAGTTGTGATTGGTGATATAAAGGAGCAGAAGTGATTGGTGATATAAAGGAGCAGTAGTGATTGGTGATATAAAGGAGCAGTAGTGATTGGTGATATAAAGGAGCAGTAGTGATTGGTGATATAAAGGAGCAGTTGTGATTGGTGAGATAAAGGAGCAGTTGTGATTGGTGATATAAAGGAGCAGAAGTGATTGGTGATATAAAGGAGCAGTAGTGATTGGTGATATAAAGGAGCGTTAGTGGATGGTGAGATAAAGGAGCAGTAGTTATTGGTGATATAAAGGAGCAGTAGTGATTGGTGAGATAAAGGAGCAGTAGTGATTGGTGATATAAAGGAGCAGTTGTGATTGGTGATATAAAGGAGCAGTAGTTATTGGTGATATAAAGGAGCAGTAGTTATTGGTGATATAAAGGAGCAGTAGTGGATGGTGATATAAAGGAGCAGTAGTGATTGGTGATATAAAGGAGCAGTAGTGATTGGTGAGATAAAGGAGCAGTTGTGATTGGTGAGATAAAGGAGCAGAAGTGATTGGTGATATAAAGGAGCAGTAGTGATTGGTGAGATAAAGGAGCAGTAGTGATTGGTGATATAAAGGAGCAGTTGTGATTGGTGAGATAAAGGAGCAGAAGTGATTGGTGATATAAAGGAGCGGTAGTGATTGGTGAGATAAAGGAGCAGTAGTGATTGGTGATATAAAGGAGCAGTTGTGATTGGTGATATAAAGGAGCAGTAGTGATTGGTGAGATAAAGGAGCAGTAGTTATTGGTGATATAAAGGAGCAGTAGTGGATGGTGATATAAAGGAGCAGTAGTGGATGGTGATATAAAGGAGCAGTAGTTATTGGTGATATAAAGGAGCAGTAGTTATTGGTGATATAAAGGAGCAGTAGTGATTGGTGAGATAAAGGAGCAGTTGTGATTGGTGAGATAAAGGAGCAGTAGTGGATGGTGAGATAAAGGAGCAGTAGTGGATGGTGAGATAAAGGAGCAGAACAGTGAAAATGAGACTTAAATGAGACTTACCCTCAGCAGGAGCTGGTACTTCATGATCCTCTGGACCGGCTTTATGAGGAGATCTGGCAATGTCAGCTTGTGGCCTAGCTTCTGACGCAGATCCTGGCACAAGTAGTAAATGCTGATCACTTTCTGACACATTAACCTTATAGCAATGGTGATCACGCTCTGACACATTAACCTTATAGCAATGGTGATCACGCTCTGACACATTAACCTTATAGCAATGGTGATCACACTCTGACACATTAACCTTATAGCAATGGTGATCACGCTCTGACACATTAACCTTATAGCAATGGTGATCACGCTCTGACACATTAACCTTATAGCAATGGTGATCACGCTCTGACACATTAACCTTACAGCAATGGTGATCACGCTCTGACACATTAACCTTATAGTAATGGTGATCACGCTCTGACACATTAACCTTACAGCAATGGTGACCTCGCTCTGACACATTAACCTTATAACAATGGTGATCACGCTCTGACACATTAACCTTATAGCAATGGTGATCACGCCTGACACATTAACCTTATAGCAATGGTGACCTCGCCTGACACATTAACCTTATAACAATGGTGATCACGCCTGACACATTAACCTTATAGCAATGGTGATCAATCGCTTTGACACATTAACCTTACAGCAATGGTGACCTCGCTCTGACACATTAACCTTATAACAATGGTGATCACGCTCTGACACATTAACCTTATAGCAATGGTGATCACGCTTTGACACATTAACCTTATAGCAATGGTGATCACGCTCTGACACATTAACCTTATAGCAATGGTGATCACGCTCTGACACATTAACCTTATAGCAATGGTGACCTCGCTCTGACACATTAACCTTATAGGAATGGTGATTACGCTCTGACACATTAACCTTATAGGAATGGTGATCACGCTCTGACACATTAACCTTATAACAATGGTGATCACGCTCTGACACATTAACCTTATGGCAATGGTGTTCATGTTGTCATACATCAGCTTTATAGCAATAGTGATCACATTGTGATATATGACTTACTGCAGTAGTAAAATAAAAGAGAGTAGACAATATCAGAACAAAAATTGTGTCAGTGATTTAGGTCAACTTACATCACTGACTAGTCATTACAAACAACTGAAGGTTAAATTGTCTCAGTGATTGGCATATTTAGGTCAACTTACATCACTGACTAGTCATTACAAACAACTGAAGGTTAAATTGTGAATTTACTCACCAAATTTCAAATTTGTTAAACATATTGCCACAATCACAACACAGCAACATTCCCACATTTCATCAACTTATTAGAAATCCCATCATTGATGTAGCTGGTTCAATCAAACTGTAACATATATTCTAAGATTGACAGTGTAGGCTTAATTTATCATATCCAAATACAGTCTTACCAATTGAAATAAGAACTAAATTATGTGTACTTACCTCAAAGAAAGTTTCTAAGTATTCAGCAACTATGTACTCTGACTTCGGCTTGTTCTCACAATACTTGACATACATGTACAAACGCCGCTCCTGTTGGGAAATAAAGTGTCACTGATCACATATCAAATCTCAAGGCCACACAGTCACACATTACAGATTAGGGTCACATATCACAGTGTCATTCATCAAAGGTCACACTGTCACACACTACAGATTAGTGTCACATATCACAGTGTCATTCATCCAAGGTCACACTGTCACACATTACAGATTAGGGTCACATATCACAGTGTCATTCATCCAAGGTCACACTGTCACACACTACAGATTAGGGTCACATATCACAGTGTCATCCATCCAAGGTCACACTGTCACACATTACAGATTAGGGTCACATATCACAGTGCCATTCATCCAAGGCCACACTGTCACACATTACAGATTAGTGTCACATATCAGTGTCACACACTACAGATTAGTGTCACATATAACAGTGTCATTCGTCCAAGGTCACACTGTCACACACTACAGATTAGTGTCACATATCACAGTGTCATTCATCCAAGGTCACACTGTCACACACTACAGATTAGTGTCACATATCACAGTGTCATTCATCAAAGGCCACACTGTCACACATTACAGATTAGGGCCACATATCACAGTGTCATTCATCCAAGGCCACACTGTCACACAATACAGATTAGTGTCACAGATCACAGTGTCATTCATCCAAGGTCACACTGTCACACATTACAGATTAGTGTCACATATCACAGTGTCATTCATCCAAGGCCACACTGTCACACATTACAGATTAGTGTCACATATCACAGTGTCATTCATCCAAGGTCACACTGTCACACATTACAGATTAGTGTCACAGATCACAGTGTCATTCATCCAAGATCACACTGTCACACATTACAGATTAGTGTCACATATCACAGTGTCATTTATCCAAGGTCACACTGCCACACACTACAGATTAGTGTCACAGATCAGTCTCATTCATCCAAGGTCACACTGTCACACACTACAGATTAGTGTCACATATAACAGTGTCATTCATCCAAGGTCACAGGTTACACACTACAGATTTGTGTCATATATCACAGTGTCATTCATCCAAGGTCACACTGTCACACACTACAGATTAGTGTCACATATCATACACTACAGATTAGTGTCATATATCACAGTGTCACACACTACAGATTAGTGTCACATATCACAGTGTCATTCATCCAAGGTCACACTGTCACACACTACAGATTAGTGTCACATATTACAGTGTCATTCATCCAAGGTCACACTGTCACACATTACAGATTAGGGTCACATATCACAGTGTCATTCATCCAAGGTCACACTGTTACACACTACAGATTAGTGTCATATATCACAGTGTCATTCATCCAAGATCACACTGTCACACACTACAGATTAGTGTCACATATCACACACTACAGATTAGTGTCACATATCACAGTGTCACACACTACAGATTAGTGTATCACTGATGACAAATCACAGTCACTCAGTACAGTGTCACTCGTGGGAGATCACAGTCACTTATAACAGTTGAAAGGTAGGACACTTTATGGATGACAGTTTATTATATTATGATTTGTACATGTGGTGCTGCTGGTTGAGGTATTGTGAGAAGATGAGATGGTCTGATGAATTATCAGTATCAGTGTTTTATGACTGCAGCAATGTGAAGTATCAATGTTACATGACTGCTTCAAAGTAAAATATTATGGAGTGAAGTTTCACATAAGCAAAGGAATATGTGATGGCAAATATGCAGACTTACGTATCTGACAAAGATCATCCCCAGTCGCTCTGGCTCCTCGGAAATCTTCTCAATTTCAGGTTGGAAAGTCCTGCAACAAAATCAATGCAGATTATAAATGAACATTGCATGACTGGTTAAAGCACTATATGTCACTTTTCTTATGAACCAACTCTACCACTGTCAGCCTCTCACAGGTCACTCTATACAAGGGAAAAATACCCTTCTTCCCAACTCTCTCAAAACAGAGTGCCATATTGTAAAGATTTTGCTAGTAATAACAGTTTTACTATATTAGTATGAGTGTTTAAACAAAACAGATTCTGGGGTAGGGTTGTTTCTCAGGAAGAATCACCATTACGTGGGATCTGGTACCTACTGTTGTTGCTTTCTGCATCTGTCTGCATCTGATACCCATCATACAAATTCTTCACATAAAACATCTGTCTCCTGATCTGACTCCTTCTTTTCACCTATGTTGTTGTATTGTCCAGTGTAACTTACTCTTTATGCCAGTCATAGATCTGGTGGATGTTGCCAAAGATGATCTTATCCTTGCCCTCTTCAGGGAATGGGCTTTCCTTCATCAACGTCATGTAGCCCTGCAACCCAACAAAAACTAAAACCATGTCGCCAAAATAATATATGCAACAATGTATTGTGAAAGCATGTTACACTACAGATGATGTCCTACAGAAATGTAGTAGAGTGACCTCAACACTGATGTCACATATAATAATGAAAATAATAATAATGCACTTGTATAGCAACTAATTTCCAACCGGTGGCTGCTCAGTGGTGCTTCACAAGGTTAAAAATAAGAATAAAATAAACAGAGTTATTAGTTGAAGAGATAGGTTTTCAAGTCACGGCGGAATGACTGGACAGAGTCTGCAGATTTAACATATGTTTGTAGGCTGTTCCACAAAGTTGGAGCCACAACAGAAAAAGCCTGGCCAGCTAACTTTGTCCTCGTAAAGGGTACACAGAGCTGGAGTTGACCAGATGAGCGGAGTCTGCGAGCTGGGAGATAGGGAGTGAGGAGGTCCTTAAGATAGGCTGGAGCAGTGTCACAGTGGAGGGCAGAAAAGCAGATAGTCAGGATCTTGAAGGATGTACGCTGTTTGATGGGTAGCCAGTGCAGTTCTCTGAGAATTGGAGTGATGCGTTCATGTAGTCGAGTGCGGGTTATGAGGCCAGGGTACTCACATGCAACACACATCACAGGTTCTACCCCTCAAGGTGACTGCCAGGGTACTCACATGCACCACACATCACAGGTCAGGGTCCTACATGCACCACTCAGGGGGTTCTGCCAGGGTTATGAGGCCAGGGTACTCACATGCACCACACATCACAGGTTCTACCCCTCAAGGTGACTGCCAGGGTACTCACATGCACCACACATCCCAGGTCCTACCCTACAGGGGGACTGCCAGGGTACTCACATGCACCACACATCACAGGTCCTACCCCTCAGGGTGACTGCCAGGGTGCTCACATGCACCACACATCACAGGTCCTACCCTACAGGGGACTGCCAGGGTACTCACATGCAACACACATCACAGGTCCTACCCTACAGGGTGACTGCCAGGGTGCTCACATGCACCACACATCACAGGTCCTACCCTACAGGGGGACTGCCAGGGTGCTCACATGCACCACACATCACAGGTCCTACCCTACAGGGGACTGCCAGGGTGCTCACATGCACCACACATCACAGGTCCTACCCTACAGGGGGACTGTCAGGGTGCTCACATGCACCACACATCACAGGTCCTACCCTACAGGGGAACTGCCAGGGTACTCACATGCACCACACATCACAGGTCCTACCCTACAGGGTGACTGCCAGGGTGCTCACATGCACCACACATCACAGGTCCTACCCTACAGGGGGACTGCCAGGGTGCTCACATGCACCACACATCACAGGTCCTACCCCTTAGGGTGACTGCCAGGGTGCTCCTATGCACCACACATCCCAGGTCCCACCCTACAGGGGGGACTGCCAGGGTGCTCACATGCACCTCACATCACAGGTCCTACCCCTCAGGGTGACTGCCAGGGTGCTCACATGCACCACACATCACAGGTCCTACCCTACAGGGGGACTGCCAGGGTGCTCACATGCACCACACATCACAGGTCCTACCCTACAGGGGGACTGCCAGGGTAGTCACATGCACCACACATCCTAGGTCCTACCCTACAGGGGGACTGCCAGGGTAGTCACATGCACCACAAATCCCAGGTCCTACCCTACAGGGGGACTGCCAGGGTAGTCACATGCACCACACATCCCAGGTCCTACCCTACAGGGGGACTGCCAGGGTGCTCACATGCACCACACATCACAGGTCCTACCCTACAGGGGGACTGCCAGGGTAGTCACATGCACCACACATCACAGGTCCTACCCTACAGGGGACTGCCAGGGTACTCACATGCATCACACATCCGAGTTCCTACCCTACAGGGTGACTGCCAGGGTACTCACATGCACCACACATCCCAGGTCCTACCCTACAGGGTGACCCCACAGGATATGGTATTCCCTTCATCCCACATCCCACCCTTCCTTGAGTTCACACAAGTACTCACATCAACCACACATCCAAGGTCCTTCACATAGTCTTTCTCTGTGTCCACCAGCTCCTGTAGGACAAATCTGAAACAAACAACTCAACATAGACACCAACCCACACAGCAACCACACAAAGCCAATGTTTAACACTGATTCAATACTGGAACATGAAAACACATGAGAATATAGCATCACATATAATGATATAGTGAACACATCAATGATTGTTTGGTGTCATATTCTGTAATACAACTTCTACAACCATTAACACTGGTGATATGTGGGAAACAATCCATGTATTGTAATTATGACATGATGACACACTTATCCTGCTGAGATCCCAGACAAGTATCCATCTTGCCCTACAACCACTGTTAACAGGCAAGGTCTGGGTGCCATTGTACGAAGCGATCTTAGCTCTAAGGTGACCGTAACTCCCATACCTTAACATAGACTTAAGGTAGTCTTAGCACTGAGGTTGTTTTGTGCAACAACACCATGGAACATAGTCAAGAAGGATGGGACACAAGGCATGTGTTATGCCATGGTTCCTTAAAGGATGTGTAACAGACACATTCAAAGTTAACCAAGCGATGTATGTCCTGTCAATGAAGGCAGTAACTCACTGTCTTTTCTTGAGGTACTTGGCCTTGTCGCCCTCTGCATCAGCCCCAGCCGACTTGTCATCCTCATCTTCTGGACCACTGTCGGACTTCGGGACCACCTCTGTCGGTTGGTCCTGGAAAACATGTCAGTCTCATTACCTGAATCTCACATCAGACTGACAAACTTCAAACATCTTCCTTGTACAGGAGCCTCAAGTTGGACACAATAAATATAGTCTAATAACATCTTCCTTATACATGAGCCTCAAGTTGGACACAATAAATATAGTCTAATAACATATTCCTTAAACATGAGCCTCAAGTTGGACACAATAAATATAGTCTAATAACATATTCCTTAAAATGAGCCTCAAGTTGGACACATAAGTAAATAACAGTCTAATAACATATTCCTTAAACATGAGCCTCAAGTTGGACAATAAATATAGTCTAATAACATATTCCTTAAACATGAGCCTCAAGTTGGACACAATAAGTATAGTCTAATAACATATTCTGACACAATAAATATAGTCTAATAACATCTTCCTTATACATGAGCCTCAAGTTGGACACAATAAATATAGTCTAATAACATATTCCTTAAACATGAGCCTCAAGTTGGACACAATAAATATAGTCTAATAACATCTTCCTTATACATGAGCCTCAAGTTGGACACAATAAATATAGTCTAATAACAGAACCCTTCATCAAACTGACCAACTTTAAACATGATATAATTACCGCTACCGGCACCTTTGCTCATAGTTACTTATTGTAATTACCATAACATAATGATATTTACAAAATGCTCAAAGGAGCTAGTGATAGGGGCTCACTCACCATTCTTTGAAAGATCATGTTTTCCATTTCAGTGGCCAAGTCTACAGTCCCTCCTGCCTCAGCTGAAGGCTGCTGTTGCTGCTGCTGTTGCTGTTGTTGTTGTTGTTGCTGCTGCTGTTGCTGCTTGAGGGACAAGGTGGATGCCTGAAGGATACAAAGTATACACATAGGCTGGTGGGATAGTGGATGGGGCAGGCTGATTAGCAGGACAGTTCTATAAATTCTGATTCCATCAGAGGACTGATTAAAACATGATTATCCTACCTCATGTAAGAATGTCCATCTCTGATTGGTCCACTTGACCGTGAACATATTACCATGTATGCTCGGTGCACGACCGTAAAATGCCCGAGCAGGGTATAAATAGGACCATATAAATCTTTGCGAGGGAGGATAAATCATTTATATCCCCGCCCCCAAAAAGCATGCATCCACGGCAGTCAGTGAACCATGAACCAGTGGTTCGGATTGACTAGTCAGTACCATGTTAGTAAAACATGTGATTGAATTTCAGTTTATTTTAATGTCATATATTTATAAAGAGAGATTAAACATTCGGTAAGATAAATTCATTGAAGCATTATGATTTGGGGTATACAGCGTTTTATCCACCGAGCCGGAGGATGGACGCATGACCTAACACAGGACGCATAAAGCCCTGTATACCCCTCATCACAATGCTACAACTTATAACATCTTTGCAAAAACAACAACACATGGTGTAGAAATAAAAAAGTTATTCTTAAAGATAAGAGTTTTAATAGATTGAAATTGGAACATTATCAACAAAAATAATAATTCTAAGAAAACTACCTTTTGGTGTGTTTTTTTTCAAAAGTCATGTCAAATTTTGGTTGGCAGTTGATATCCTGTCCATTCAAATGTTAGGATATACCCAGATTCCAGTTTTAGCTGTAGTCTAGCATTTGAAGCATGAGACTCACTAAATGCAGCAAAAAATGTTTCCAGGTTCAAAACAATCAACCTGAGGTCTGAGATAAATAGTTAATCCCACCCTCAGTAGTGACTGTTTTCCCAGTAGTTGTCTGATCTCAGGATCTTAAACATCATCTTTGAAGTCCTGGTATCTCTACTGAGGGAGGCAGTAAGGATAGACTGGGCAACAAGCAGACACAATACATCAGACATCCCTCAGATAGAAAGATGTAAAAGTGTTAGAAGACACCCGCTGATATGTTTCAGTGAGACAGTCTTCCATGATGCTAAGGAAGAAGGAGGCTATCTTCTGCCAGAGTCAGCTTTATAGTTTTCTTAATTCAGGCAACCACTGAGTTCTTGGAAATATCTTTCCATGATTGTTCTTGACAAGATATCCACGACAAAATCACTAATATCCAAGTATCATTTTTGAGCTCTAACTGGGCATAGACCCTTGACCAATAGGTCATGATCTAGAATGGGAGCAAAAATTCCCATCGAGGACTTTTGATTGTTGGTGAGGAACTCTGGCACTGCTCTAATTGCCACTCTAGATGTATCTTTCAAAAATGCCACTGAACATACTTTAAAGGCCTTCAGTTCTAAAAGCCTTGAGGCCAAAGCTATCGCTATGAGGAAAGCACTCTTCAATTAAAATGTTGTGTCAAGAATGCTTTCTCCATAGGTTAAAAAGGATGACGCAATAATCCTGATAATACTACTGATTACTCCTACTTCGTAGTTACATGCTGTATTAGGATATCCTCTAGTTCAAAAGAGCGTAACAGCCTGGTAAGAACCGGATCCATCCCAACATAAAACCTTGATAAGGGAGGACAGATGCCAAAGATAACCAATATCCTTTTATGGTGCCAGGCAAAAGACAGATATCATTCCTAAGATAAAATAGAGTATGTAATAATTGGCACTGTTATAGGGTCATTGGTTGTTCCAGATAGGACCTTCCACTACAGGAATTGGTTCCTTTTACATTCATGAAAGGCAGATGTTGAACCTGAAGACTGACTGTGTAGCAGCAGAAGAAACTCCTTGTGAAAATCCTGTTGATGCAAGGTGTCACTAGATGGTTTCCATACGTGAGTGGAGCTGTTCCAGGTTGTGATGGAATCTGTCTGACTTCAGTTGTCTGAAAAGCGTTGGCCAACAAGGCAGAAGTAATGGTTAATCCAGCATATAACTAAGGTACAGTGCTAGCTGATGATTCCTGATCTTGGCAAGGACCTATGGGATTAGCGCTGTTGGTGGCTATGCATATGCGATCATGCCTTCCCAAGAAAACACCATGGTGAGCACAGTGTAAGCTGAAGGATCTGGATATAAGTTGGTTGTTGAGCATCGTTGTAAACCATATAGCTATTCAGATGAAGCATCCATTCCGTAGATAGGATTTGCATGTTGATCTTCCCTTGGATGTGTCTGGCCATGATGCTGCAATCCAGACTTCCATTAGACAGTAAAGTTCCCTTGTAAGCTCCGTGAGGACTTTAGAGTGTGTTATCCGTGGCAACAAGCATGGACGAGTTCCTTAGATGTAGTGAGTAGCTCAGAGAACTGTCCTCATCTTGATACCCCTCCTTGATAACTTTGAGGATCCACTGATCTGTATTTTGATCTTCCAGTTTTCTGCAACAGCTGATAAATGGCCACCCACTGGAAAGAGGGTTTGTCTATAGGCAAGGTTGAGGTCCGTGCTACTGATATCTGGGAAGTCCGAAGAGAGCTGGGATGAAACCCTTTCCCAAGTCTCTTGGAATGACACTTGGGCTTGTTTCTACTGTCCTGTCGGATGATCCACTCCCCAGAACTTCTTCTGTGGCCCAGCACAGCCTGCAGGGCCATTGATGATAGGGATTACTCTTTTGAAGTCTCAGTTGTGATAAAGAAACCGATGTTAGAACCCTGTGGAACTTCCTATCTTCCTCTGATTGAAGGACTTCCCTCTCTAAAGAGCTGATCGACAAGGGGGTGCGAATACAGCAATTTCTCTGACTCTGATGAGATGCGATTGATGAACGTAATCAATGCAGATGATGATTCCTCCTCAACAGTTACTGTGTGGGGTAGGACATGTCTTGCATCAGCTTCAATAGTCGAAGGCAGCAACTTCTGAATTTCACAGGACTAAGAAACAGTTTAGTCCTTGAATATGATTCATACTCTTTCATCAGAATACTTCGTTCTCCCTCCCTTGGTGTCATTCCAAGTTAAGGTATTTTAACAGCAAATGCTTGAAATCAAGGTAATCTAGTAAATCTCTGTTTTCAGTCACATAAGAATTATTTTCCTGAAAAGAAGAACCTACGCTCCTGTGGTCTTTGCTATGATGTCCTCCCACAGGATCAGCTGACTTCCTATGACAAAAGAATGAGGAGTGTCAACACACGCCCAGCAATCTCCTTGTGAATCCTGAGAGAGACATTCATTTCCTGCAGGCTGAGGATGTTTTTTGTACCCCAAGGGGGATAACAAAATGCATTAAGAGCTCTTAGATTTATCTATGATATCCTAACCAACTAAGAAGCTGCATCCAATAGAAACCTCCTGTGGATAGCTCTTGGAGGACCACTTAGAAGAAAGACAATTCAATGCCATGGACTTACATTCAAGATAAACCTGTGGATTCAGAAACAAGTTTCAGGAAAACAGCCATCAAATGTAAAGAGATGTATTCGTAAGAATTATATCGCACCTTTTAAACATACAATGTGAGAAGGAGTCACATGATTTGTTCTGTGGCCAGAAAGTATGGACATTTTAATCATTAGAGCCAATTCAGTGGTAGCCATGTTAGTATGCACTTAACCTTTACACAGATCCCTGTCTCAATGATCGATTTTCAGGGCATAATCATTCAAATAATTTTACTTTACTTGAAGTAAAATATATTTTATTTGTTGTTGACACAGAGGTAACCTGAATTAAACAATTTCATCCCTAGGACCGCTCCAAAATCATGAGAGAGTGTCTACAGGACCCAAAATCCATTTATTTGCTGCATGGGGGTATATGAAAGCAAAATACTTTCCCTGTTCATGTTCATGTTCCACAGCTTATTTTGTTAAAACAACTGACTTGGAAGTGAGAATCACCATGCAAATGTGTCACTTTATGGTGCATTACCTTAATGCACTACAGCTTTTACTCAAAGGGGTGGTATTTGCATATTAGACATAATTTACATCATTTCCCAGTGTGGCTGCTGTTTGAGTCAAAGTATCATTTCTGGGTGAGATGGTGGATTGCTGCATTTCACAACATACCAGTTTAGTACTGACTTCTTCCATCGGTGGTTCCTGGGCAGCCTTGAAAGTGTGATCCTGAATTTCCATAGGTGGAGGTATTTCAATATCTTGAGCTGGTTCTGGCTCTTCATTGGTGGATTCCAATGGAGCTTTATTAGTAACCATGACAACCTGAGGTGTAACTGCCTGCTCCACATTTTGTCCCTGTTCAGCCTGCTCCTGAAAGTAAAAGTATGGAATGAATGTTTGTGGTACAATGTTAAGATAATGTGATGTTGGTTTGCTCTGTGTTCAGATGGCTTAACATAGACATGTTGTGTCCACCAAGTACTTTTCCTGGTAGTTGCTACGCTGTGTGTGGTGCCTAGCCACCTGAAGCAAAAAGTCAGAGATTAAGTGAAATGAACAAATCATTAATTACAACAATCACATCTGATGTCAGTGTGTCTGTAAGATACAATAGTCCTTGTACAGTTCTGCGTCTACTTCAGCAGCAACATGAAGATAAGTGATGCATTGTTGGGCCTGCTGGCTCACTACCAACACATTGTCGGCAAGCCCTCCTTCCAGATAACCACACTCAGCTCCTGGGGAGAACAGCCTACAACCAATCAATGTCAACAAGTATGTTACCTACAGTGAAATGTGAAGTAACACAAACTTTGAACAATCATGATGAAGCATATCCTCTAGAGAATGAAAGGTTTTCTTCTTGTTTTATTTATGTTAATGAAAAACATCCATGAAAAGATTTACCTGAAGATGAAGGCGATATTGCGCCCGCCTCTTGAACAATTTATGACACGGACAAAGATAGTGAAGAATACATCCTGTGATATCCATTATAGTTTATCTAATGACACATAGGCACTCTGATTAGACAATTACGATGTGTAAATCCAACCAGACAGAATGCATGAGTTTGTATCCACTGTTCTGTACCCTCAGTACATCGAGAGACAAAGCACCACTGACATCACTATCAGCCTAAATGTAAGAATGGGCCCTCTGGACTGGCACACTACCGGGTACTGACACACTTGTACATCAACTCACAATGCTGGACACTGTTTCCTTCATGGCTCTCCACATAACACAAACTCTCGGCATTGTACAACACACACTAAATGACAAGGTTGTTCCTATATTATGTTGTACAATAAGGTCCACTGGGGTCCACTATGGTCCACTATGTTACACATTGGTATATTCTTGGTGTACACCATGCAGTGATAAGGATCCAGCAGACACGACAGTGAACTCTTGTATCAAATCTGATAATACAGAGCCACCATATTGTCTTCTTGCACATCTATCCAGCTATGAAGAAATGCCAAGTGTGAGATCTGTTTTTAGTTGATGCCCCAGGTAGGGCAGCCCTTCCCTTATTACCCTGGGAGCTGGCAGGACCTGGACAACCACCTCATGAAGCTGCATGTCTGGCAGTAGATGTCAAAACAACAGCCAATCTTGCTAGGGGCTCAGTATGTCTCATTAGCCACACTGAGACAGGAACAACACCACCAACCTCACACATCCCTCATCAGGGAAATACGTGTTAGCTCAAAGTCGACAATAAACAAGGAAACATATTACCCTTGCTCTATACATTGACTCAGCAGACAGTTATGATTGTAATATTCAGCTTTACCAGTGATGTTAATGCATGAATATTGGAATATTACAGCACTGATACAGGTACCTGGCTACTGATTTGCCTGCCTGCTTATGATCATCCACTTGCCTCGTTATACTCACTCCCTGTATAGGTACTGGCTACTCATTCCCCTGTATAGGTACTGGCTACTCATTCTCCTGTATAGGTACTGGCTACTCATTCTCCTGTATAGGTACTGGCTACTCATTCCCCTGTATAGGTACTGGCTACTCATTCCTACTCATTCCCCTGTATAGGTACTGGCTACTCATTCTCCTGTATAGGTACTGGCTACTCATTCTCCTGTATAGGTACTGGCTACTCATTCCCCTGTATAGGTACTGGCTACTCATTCTCCTGTATAGGTACTGGCTACTCATTCTCCTGTATAGGTACTGGCTACTCATTCCCCTGTATAGGTACTGGATACTCATTCCCCTGTATAGGTACTGGCTACTCATTCCCCTGTATAGCTACTGGCTACTCATTCTCCAGTATAGGTACTGTTTACTCATTCCCCTGTATAGGTACTGGCTACTCATTCCCCTGTATAGGTACTGGCTACTCATTCTCCTGTATAGGTACTGGCTACTCATTTTCCTGTATAGGTACTGGCTACTCATTCACCAGGCTACTGACCTGCCTGCCTGCCTGCTATCATCAATGACATCTATAACCTAAGTTTCCTTCAGTCATAAGGTGATAGGTGAGCAAACCGTCCAACTCTAACCATTAAGACACACTGTGATGAGAACTAAGGGTTGATGAGCAGACCAGATAACAGGCATTTCATTGCTGAATTATTTGACAGAGATCATGTGAATCGTATAGCAATCTGTTAATTAGACAGCAGCAGTGTGACTGTTACTGAACACAGTAACTACATGAAACTGTTATGATCAGGAAATTAATTTCAGATATTTATTGCAAAAGATATGTTTTTGACAACACGACAGTTCCTCAACATACTGGATGCACATTTCCTATTATCACCATTTCCATTTCACTTGATGCTGAGACAACATTCAAAAGGGTTGAATAAACTTATAAATACCAGTATCTGGTACATCACTGCAGCACTCTGTGACCCCATCAGGTACATCACTGTAGCACTCTGTGACCCCATCAGGTACACCACTGTAGCACTCTGTGACCCCATCAGGTACATCACTGTAGCACTCTGTGACCCCATCAGGGTACACCACTGTAGTACTCCGTGACCCCATCAGGTACATCACTGTAGCAGGCAGTGACAACATCAGGTACACCACTGTATTACTCCGTGACCCCATCAGGTACATCACTGTAGCAGGCAGTGACAACATCAGGTACATCACTGTAGTACTCCGTGACCCCATCAGGTACATCACTGTAGCAGGCAGTGACAACATCAGGTACACCACTGTAGCACTCAGTGACCCCATCAGGTACACCACTGTAGCACTCAGTGACCCCATCAGGTACATCACTGTAGTACTCCGTGACCCCATCAGGTACATCACTGTAGCAGGCAGTGACAACATCAGGTACACCACTGTAGTACTCCGTGACCCCATCAGGTACATCACTGTAGCAGGCAGTGACAACATCTGGTAAACTGACCTTTGAAGGTCATGTGAAATGTCCATGTGAAGAAAATCAAAACTGTCTTCCTCAGGATGCACAAACTGTGTAGTGACATTACCACTGGAAGGAAGTCCATCCCTGAGTTTTTACACTGTGTGGCAGTGAACATCCGACTTGATAAACATCAGTAGGCCAAGGTCATCATATGATTCATTATAACTTATAATGTTAACTGTAGTCACTTCGTTATGTCATAAGACCTTTACATTTGTTGTATGTGTGATAATGAAAAAATATAAAATATAAAAGCCTTGTTTTTCTATACATTTTATGGACTTTTTTACCTTGGCAAATTTAGGACTTTTTTACTGGTACTTATTTAACAAGGACTTTTTTACCGAACACCCATGCCAGCATGACATGTGGGGATGGTGAGATGGGGGATGTGTCTAAGTCCACATCAGTTGTTTTCTGCTGTAGTCACCTACACAGCGGCATCATTAGCAAGGGGACAAAAATATGTGTATAATAGGTGACATGTTCAGCATTATGACACTGGGCATTACAAAATATTATGGCACTACATATCTGTTTAACACCAAATTCTGTTTGAATCGTTAAAGATGTGAAGCTTAAAGTGCACAGAAATCTGCATCTAAGGATATATATTTACCAGTATATGGTTTCTGTGTGAATCAGCTACCAACTTGAGTAAGCAATACCAAGAATGCCCAGATTAACAAGCTGTGCCTACATCTGCAGTGTATTGGCAAATTCACCCTGGTGCTGGCCGCTGTGCCTACATCTGCAGTGTAATGGCGACTTCACCCTGGTGCTGGCCGCTGTGCCTACATCTGCAGTGTATTGGCGACTTCACCCTGGTGCTGGCCGCTGTGCCTACATCTGCAGTGTAATGGCGACTTCACCCTGGTGCTGGCCGCTGTGCCTACATCTGCAGTGTATTGGCGACTTCACCCTGGTGCTGGCGCTGTGCCTACATCTGCAGTGTAATGGCGACTTCACCCTGGTGCTGGCGGCTGTGCCTACATCTGCAGTGTAATGGCGACTTCACCCTGGTGCTGGCCTGTGCCTACATCTGCAGTGTAATGGCGACTTCACCCTGGTGCTGGCGTCACAGTGCCTACATCTGCAGTGTAACCCTGGTGCTGGCAGCTGTGCCTACTTCACCCTGGTGCTGGCGGCTGTGCCTACATCTGCAGTGTAATGGCGACTTCACCCTGGTGCTGGCCGCTGTGCCTACATCTGCAGTGTAATGGCGACTTCACCCTGGTGCTGGCCGCTGTGCCTACATCTGCAGTGTAATGGCGACTTCACCCTGGTGCTGGCCGCTGTGCCTACATCTGCAGTGTAATGGCGACTTCACCCTGGTGCTGGCCACTGTGCCTACATCTGCAGTGTAATGGCGACTTCACCCTGGTGCTGGCCGCTGTGCCTACATCTGCAGTGTAATGGCGACTTCACCCTGGTGCTGGCCGCTGTGCCTACATCTGCAGTGTAATGGCGACTTCACCCTGGTGCTGGCCGCTGTGCCTACATCTGCAGTGTAATGGCGACTTCACCCTGGTGCTGGCCGCTGTGCCTACATCTGCAGTGTAATGGCGACTTCACCCTGGTGCTGGCCGCTGTGCCTACATCTGCAGTGTAATGGCGACTTCACCCTGGTGCTGGCCGCTGTGCCTACATCTGCAGTGTAATGGCGACTTCACCCTGGTGCTGGCCGCTGTGCCTACATCTGCAGTGTAATGGCGACTTCACCCTGGTGCTGGTGTAATGGCGACTTCACCCTGGTGCTGGCTACCTACATCTGCAGTGTAATGGCGACTTCACCCTGGTGCTGGCCGCTGTGCCTACATCTGCAGTGTAATGGCGACTTCACCCTGGTGCTGGCCGCTGTGCCTACATCTGCAGTGTAATGGCGACTTCACCCTGGTGCTGGCCGCTGTGCCTACATCTGCAGTGTATTGGCGACTTCACC